TTCCTATCAGCTTACATGCGCTATTGCTTCCTCTTCAGCCACCTCCAGCACCCACAGAGGAAGAAGGATTTCTCACCCTTTTTTGCTGATTGTGGAGGGCACATCCTGCTTTACAGAGGCCGGACCCGGGCAGGAACCGGCAGCCCCAGCCGGGTGGGGAGAGCTCGATCCTGTCCCCGCACCAGAGGGCAGGTGGTCCTGTGGAAGCAGTGCCCAAGCCAGGCAGCTCCTCCAGCATTTCCAACCTTCTCCTTTCCCTGCAGACGAGCTGCCTGGCTGTCCAGCATGCCAGAATCCTCCACAGGGGCACGACAAACCGGGCCCCATGGGTCCCGTTAAAGACTTGACCCAAAATGACACAGGGCAGCTTTCTACAAATACCAGAGCTTAGTCAGATATTTTCCCAGTGCCCAGCCCCCCTGCCCAAATTCTTCTGGTTCCTCCTGGCGTGGGACACATGTCCAAACGCAGCATTTGATGTCCATTCCTGTTACAATTTGCAAGACAGAAAATTTCACAGAAAGGATTTTTTTCACAAAAAGAAGAGCTCCACAGTGATGACCAGAAGTTAAGCTAAAACATATTTCCACACTGCTTAGCCAGCACAGGGCACTCTGCCCACAGCGCTGGGTTTTGTCCTTCATTCCTAAGTGGGGGACAGTGGGGCTGGGCTGCCACACTGCACAGGGACAGCACGACACCGGCACGCTCTGTGGTGGAGCAAACACCCACATGGAAACCAGGAATCTTACTTCCCCCCAAACATTTGTTCTAGTGACTCTTTTATAAGATGTATAAACCTCCTTTTTAGTTTTTTTTATAAACCTAACTGAATGCAAAAAGTCCACCACTAACTGTGGGAGACCCCTGGAGAACACCTGGACACAAAAAGCTTCTCCCTTTGGCTTTGCCATGCAACCCCACCCGCTGTTGGGGTTGCTGCTTTCCACCAGCATCTTTTGTTAATACAGCAATTCAGCTGCGAATGCAAACTGGGATCGGCCCCATCACCCGCTCCTGAGGCAGAAACCAACTCGTACTTAAAATCCCTTCGGCTGACCTGGCCACCTCACTGCACACCAGCCTGAAGCTTCCCGATCTCTCCAGGAACTCATTTACCTTAGAGAAAGTCGCGTTAGCCAGTGAAATTGTAATGTCCCGAGATACTCCCGTGGGCATTGGGTCCAATAAGGCAGGTACAATGCGCGGACAGTCAATTTTCTTCTGTTAGCAACAAAAGACAAAAAAGAGGTTAGCTGGGTGCATGCTGAGCATCCTCAAAGACGAGGCAAGAAGACACATCGAGGCCCTTGATAAGATTAACTTCACTACATTGTTGAAGTCAGATCACACTGTAACCCAAGCAAGTGATTACCAAAACAGTACCATGACGCACAGAGTGGTAACACCATGTGGAACCTTCCTCCCCTGAGCCACCAGCTTTAAGTGTAGCCCAGCATGGCACTGCCTTAAAATCCGCCCTCCACTAGCTGCCAGATAATGACAGCATGGTGGCCGGGTTTCCAGGGGCTCATCCGCAGCCACAGGCCAGCAGCCACGGCCAGAGAAAGGTGGAGCACAGTTTTTAGGAATTCCCCTCTCGCTCCTGCCAGGCTCCTCCACCAGCTCAGGGACATCAGCAGTTCCCAGCCCTGGGTGGTGGGGCTGACAAGCCTGCAATTCTGTCTTCCTGCACTGGAAAAAATGCCCTCCCAGGTATAAAGCAAATGTGTCTGCACCCCTCAGCTGCTGCTGCGAGCAGCTCCCTCGTGGCACACGCTTAAATGTTAGAAGACGGGGCCGGAGTGACACTAAAAGGAGGCACCGCAGGCTGCAGTGGCAGATCTGCCAGTGTAAGCCCCCTCCTGTCAGCGGGAAGCTGATGTCTTGCTCATTGCAATGCACATTTCTGCAAGCCCCTGCGGAGATTTCACTTTCCAGCGGGCTCCCCCTGCACAGTGTCATTGCAGAAGCGTGCGGGGCTCTGTGTGTGCACGCGTGTGCACGTGGGAAGGGTATAATGAGCTGCAGGAGCTTCAGCATGGGGACTGCAGGAGTAGGACAGCTGAAACGAAAGGCCTAAATGAAGCTGAAAAACAATTTTAAAAGGTCATCTGTCCCCTACTTTCGTTCTCACTTTAAACTGATGGCTCAGATACTGGAGCTGACTCAGAATTCAAGTCTGTATGACAAGTCCATCTTGTTCTCTCATAAAATGTAAATCACACTGCAAAACTACAGCAAAAATGAAGCCAGATTCTCCGTTGACCCAGGGTATATCCAGATTAATGCCTTTAACAGTGGAGCCATTGGGGTAAAAGACAACAAAATATTTGGTCCGTTATGCAAAATAATTTGCAGCAGGCAAGATTTCCTTCTCACTTGCACTAAGGGTTTCCCCGCCGTGACTCGGCTGACGACAGTGCCGCTGCTGCTCTGATGAGAGATGGAGCCTGCCCTCCTCGCACCAAGATGCCCAGCAGGACACATCCCTGCTGCCAGACATGCAGTGAGCATGAGGTTTCTCTTCTCCAGACCTAGCTTGGGGTCAGGAAATTATCTGGAAGTGCCTGTTTGATTGAGGAAAACATGCTTCATTTCTATGAGGACACTCATCTTAATCAAGCACAGTTGGTGCCACCTAAACAAGTAGATTAAATAACAGAGATGTACCTGATAACAGAAATAAAACAACAAAGCAAAGCATAGTAGAGAGATTTCAGTCCCAAGCCTCTTCTAGGAGAATCAAAAGAGTTAAAATAAAACCAGCAGGGCTACAACTGAAAATTCATGCAAAAGCTCTTATGGCCTGGTGTGTCCTTGCATGTCACAGCAGCTGGCATAGCTTGCTAGATAAATACACTTTAGAGGACTGATTAACTTGTCGTCTTGCAGCCCCTCTCCTGCTGTTCATCAGCGGCTAGAAATAGAGCTTTCCAGCTGATTATATCATTCATGTCTGGATCAGGGCAAAGGGCCTGAATGTTTAAAATGCTGCGGATGAAGGCAGTATGATGCTGGCTTCCTGGCGGAGCAGTTTTCAGGTGCAGCCACACCAGCAATGGTTTGTTTACTGAAAGCTCTGACTGTAGGACAAGGCACCATGTTTTCAGGGATACACAGCACCTCGTCCTGCAGCCTGCCCCCTGAAATCGGCAAGAGCTAAGAAAGGCACAGAGATACAACAGGAATGTGCCCAAACCAGGTGCAGCACCCAACTGAACTCCACCTCCTGCAGTAAATCAGAGGTGAGAAAGCGAGGGTAGGCACGGTTATCCTTAAGGATAGGCACAGTTATCCTTGAGAAGGAGAGGCACAGTTATCCTTAAGGAGGAATAGGCATGGTTACCCCTGCCAGAGGGTAAGCCTGACTCTCGTTGTCTGCTCGAGGGGATGGGAGCAGAGTGGGAAGACTGGGTGCAGCTCTCCCTAACATGTAGGCGAGACTCCTCAAGACCTATGTCCACGACCCTCCCTGATTTCCTCCCTCCGGGCAGAAGAGCAGCTATTCCCCATGACAATACATCAGCACCCCGTGCCACACTGTCCCACATGGTCCCCACGGCCAGGGAGGCAGATCCGATGCTGGCCCGCCGAGGTCCAGCTGTGCCAGAACCTGCATGTCCCTGTTCACACCGGCACTGGTGCTCGGCAGCAGATCAATGTCTCTGCTGGGTTTGATTTTGGTGGGGCCAATTCTTCCAGTGCATGGTTGCACAATCACAGGGACACACGCACAGGGGCAGGAGTGAGCTCGGACAGGGCAGGGACACCCGGTCAGCTGGGAGGGACCAGGCAGCCATGGTCCCTCCAGCCCCCAGCTTGGACTGCTCCCGGCCACAGGCAGTGCCATCCACCCTCACCCCACTCTCCACTTGCTCCCGTGTCCCAGGACATCCTCTGGCCTCATGTCATGGAGACTCATCAGACCTGACAGCTGGCACACCAGGTCCCATGGTGACTCCAGCACCATGGAAGGCGTCACTTACCAACAGCCACAGCCTCCGGTTTGGTTTTACAAGGGATCCTTTGGGTCTGGCCCCAGGATGCTCCATGCACAAAGCCCTGTGCCCTCCCACCAGTGGCACAGGCACTGCAGGAGTGTTTTACTCCACACCGTGGGTTTTACTGCTTGTCCCTCCTCCAGAAGCCCCACGCAGGGGAAGGGACAAGGCCAGGTTCTGCCTTCTGGGGCAGAGAACAAGGGGGCAGCCAGACTTGGCAAGATCCAGTTCTTAAATCCACCCCAGCATCGCCCTGGACACAGTCTGGCAGGGACACCTGGGCTGAGCCAGGAAAACACACCACTCCCTGCTCCACTGAATAACTGCCTGGCCCTGCTTTTCAAGCAGCAGCTACACTTAAACTCAAAGGACAAATAATCTCAGGCAATTTTTGCATTTGCCAGCCAAGTTGCAGGCTATGTGGCAAGTAAATAGTCACTCCAGTTACACGGGACCTTCTTGAGAAGCCCTCTCACAGCCCAAGCTCTTCCTCTGGATTTAATGAGAAACCCACTGCGTATCAGCCATGACTAAAACCACTGATGGAGGAACCACTGATGGAGGACCAATCCATGGCGGTCCCCTGCCGCAGCCCTGACATCACTGGTGCTGCTGGCGTGGCTGACAGCCCCCGGAGCCCCTGCCCTGAGCGGCAGCCTTGGTGCCCAGGGGCGGTGCAGCACAAGCACCCATGGCTCATGGCCCTCTGTGCCGTGAGGCCCCGTGCGCCGGCAGCCCTGCACATCGCCAGACCCCTGGCACAGCTCC